GATTTACTGGATAGTAGTTGACCTTTGTAACACTGCTCTGTGGGTTTGGCAAAGCGTGACTGAATTTTCAGGGCAAGTATTAAGAGGTGGGTGGGCTAAATGGAGCCAAGTCTTAGCCACAGAAGGTACTCCTAAAGCAGGGGAGAGCAAACTACGGCCCGCGGGCCGGATCCAGCCCGTCAGGACTTTCAAGCCTGCCTATGGGATTACCAGCCCTGTGGTGCAGTGGGACTAAGGCAGGCTCCCTGCCTGCCCTGGCCCCACGCCGCTCCTGGAAGCAGCCGCCACCATGTCCCTGTGGCCCCTGGGGAGAGGGGGGAAGAGGGCTTCGTGCGCTGCCCTCGCCTGCAGGCACCGCCCCCTGCATTGGCTGGGAATGAGGAACTGCAGCCAATGAGAGCTTCGGAGGTGGTACCCACAGGCGAGGGCAGAATGCGGTGGAGTCGCCTGCCCCACCCCACCACAGCCCCAGGAGCCACTGCCGGCCTTGCTGGCCACTTCTGGGAGCAGCATGGTCTGGGCAGTGAGCCTGCCTTAGCCCCGCTGCACACTGCTGCCACCCCGGAGCCGCTCGAGGTAAGCGGCGCCGGGCTGGAGTCTGCACCCCAACCCCCTGCCCTGAGCCCTCTCCTGCACTCCACACCCCCTTCTGCACCCCAACCCCCTACCCTGAGCCCCCTGCTGCACCCCAACCCCCTGCCCTGAGCCCCCTCCCGCACTCCGCTCTCCCTCCCACACCCCAACCCCCTACCCCAGCCCTACATTCATGGCCCTACATGCAATTTTCCCACCCAGATGTGCCCCTTGGACCAAAAAGTTTGCCCACCTCTGTCCTAAAGAGTCTAGGTTAAATATGTAGTGTCCTCTGTAAACAGATCTGAAATAGAGACAGACCCTGAGTGCTGTGTCTCCAGGCTAGAATTCTCCTACTGTAGGGTCTGAGTAACTCTCATGGATTTCAGTGCTATGAGAACATGCTCTGTACCATCAAGTAGGAGATCAGTGCTTTGGTTCACAGTTGTAGGCCCTGATTCTGAGCTGCACGTCTCAGGAGGCACAGCCCAGGCTGGTGGTGCATGTGGCAGTGCAGGAGAAGACAGCTTTGTGCTATGTTTGCATCTTTGTAATTCTGGGACTGCCAGGGCCAAATCAGCCCCAGGAGCTGCTGTAATGCATGCCTGGGCTACAACAGCCCCCACAGGATCATCCAGCAGCCCAGAACAGCTGGAGGTCAGAGCAGTCTGGCTATATCCCAGGACACCTCACTACCAAAAATACAAGGGGGGAGCAGTGAAGGGCTGTTATATCAGCCCTGTGATACCCAGAGGAATTCCATGAGGGGGAGATCCAGATCCTTTATACTGCAACATAAGAGGCTAAATTCACCCCAGGTTTGCCCATGGGGAAAGGAGGAGAAGGACTCCCTAGATGCCCTCTTCCCTATTGAAATGGTGACTAAGTCCCATCAGTCAAGATAGGATTTATTGCTTATTACTCAGAATAAACTGGTGCTATTCAGGAACCTGCCATTTAACTTTTTCTGGTCTCTATACCTGAACAGTTCACAGAACTAGACTCTCCGCCTCAAATCAACAGTACCAGGATCAACCGGGACACTCTGGCTAGCCAGCATGAAGCTTCCAGGAGCTGGGGGAAAGCTTTTGTAGTGAAGGATGCCAACTGTAGAACTCCCTACTGCCGGATATCAGGTTGACTTCATGTCTTGCCACTTTTAGTGCTAGATCCCAATCCCATTCAAGACCTGCATGGCATTTGGATCAGGTCCTTAGTTGCAAAAAGCATTTCTTGGCAAAACTTTCCCACAATAGAGTCGGCGGCACATTGGCTGGTGAGTTTTCCTTCTCCCGTAGAGATCTGCCTCTGAAGAAGGCCTGTGAAATAAGACCTCAATGAAGGAGCTGCAGAGAAGATGGTCATAGCATTATTAGTTGTACTACAGTAGCAGTCAGAGATCTCGACTGTGATCAGAGCCCCATGATGCCAGGTGTTACACATACTCATCATGAGAGACAGTCCTGGACCCAAAGAGCCCACCATCTAAATAGAAAGGAGAGATGGAGGCCGTTTTACAGATAGGAAACAGAGGGACTAAAAGCCAGATTCCTGAAAGTATTTAGACACCTAACTCCTATTGATTTCTACAGGATTAGGCACCAAATACCTTTGAGGACTTGCCTGAGTCACACCAGAAGTCGGCAGCAAAGCCAGAAATTGAACCTGTCACCTGGATCCCATTCAGTGCTTTAATCACAAGCCTGTTCTTCCCTTTAGGCTGGCCCAGCTCCTGCTTGGATGGTGCTAAGAAATCATGCTGATTGGTACAGGAGAAATTGGTTGATTAAATGAGACAATGTATCAAGGAAATCTGGGATTTGTACAAGAGACTGCACTGAAAGCAATGAGTTGATTTGTTCTCAGTTCATTTCATCCCTCAACCCCTCTCTACAATAATATTCTCAGTGCTTTACCTGAAAACACTGATTTCTGACCATCTGATGGAAAAGTGTTTATTAACTGGAGTCAGTAGCTACTTCTCAACGTGGGTTCAGCTAAACCACCTGTTTTGAGTAAGGTGCCTGTACAGATGCCGCCTTGGCTGTAGAGTATTAGTTCCACAGGTGCTGCTGATGAGAGAAAGGCAGCGTTTAGCCGATTTGTGAGTCACTCTCTCCCAGCCTATGCTAATCTGGGCACCACCCACTTTTGCAGCCAGAAAGGGTGCTTTCTGGCAGCAGTGCACGAAAGTGACTCATCAAGAGAGAATGCAGCGGCAGGTATTCAGCCTTTCTGATGCTGCAGGGATATGACTCAACCCCGCGTTGGTGGGGAGTCTGAATCCAGCCAGAGTCTGACACATGCTCCCAGTGTAAGTACAGATCGCTCTGCAGGCTCTGAGTGAGCGAACTGCTGCATCTGAACCCCCCGTGCTTTTGTCAGAGGGAAAGCACAGAATGAGCGAGCAGGAAGAGCTACTTCAAACGAGAGAGCCCAGCCCGCCTTCCTCCCCGTGGGGTGCCTCTGTTACCTCCCTGGGCGGCTTCTGCTGAACCAAAAGGAAGGTTCGCTTTCCTGCAAGGGGTTTGCTGTCTCTCTGTGTGGGTGTGTACGCACGTGTTCGCTTTCAGTGCTGTTTCTTTAAGAGGACTGTGACTGCTGAGAGGCTAGTTACTGTTTCTTGTCACTCCCCCAAAGATACAGCCTGGCTGCGTTCTGCTGTAATGGCACGGAGACCACCTAGTGTCTCGATTTTTGGGGCGGATACCTCTTGATCCCATCCTATCCGGCTCTTAAAGGGATAGTGCTTTGTTGGGAGAACCCTTGAAGAGCCTTGACAGTGATGAATGGCTCCAGACACTATGTTGCAACAGCTGGATAGGTCTTCTTGTCTCACTCTGCTGATGTTTTGTTGGGACATGGTGGTTTTATGTCATGAAGGGTTATTTAGTCCTGCCTCAGGGCAGAGGGATGGACTTGACTTCTCTAGGTCCCTTCTAGCTCTACGCTTATGATTACCTCCTAGGAGCAAGTATCAGGGGGTAGCCGTGTTAGTCTGTATCCACAAAAACAACAAGGAGTCTGGTGGCACCTTAAAGACTAACAGATTTATTTGGGCATAAGCTTTCGTGGGTGAAAAAACCTCA